GAGTTAGCCCACATCTGCCATCAGCTTAAGAAACATTTCTGAGATGAGTTTGTTCTGGATAGCAAGTCTCTGGTAATGCTCCTCATTGCTGTTAAACGCTGGGTATTTGAGAAGTATATTGCACTAATGGATACACCCTCACAATTTAAAACAGTTACTCATCTTTTCCTAACCAAAGCTAGTAATGCAGTTGTTCTGGATGTGCTGAAACCACATGATTATGGAAAAGAATGGATGGGAATAATCAGAAACTATTGCCACCAGAAATGATGTAGTCATTCCCAGGTTTAAGCCTGCATCCCTCGCCCTTTTATTGCAGATAAACCTCTTACATAATTTGGCATTAGATGGATGCCAACAAGGTGTGCCTGTGCTTGGGGCTGCAGGTCAACACTGTGTGAGGAAGAGAAGCTTAAAGCTTAACGTAAAAGCAATAAGAAAGCAGAGACCTCACCCACAGAAGTGAGTGGTCAGTGAAGGCATTGTCTTTCACACACTCCTCATTGCCTGAAACATTGCCCGAGACTGAAGTAGGACCATATTTAGCAGCTACAATGCAAAAAGTGGTTTTCTGGAAGGAAAAGGGCACCAAATATCTTACCTCTGCATCTGCCTCTGCTTCTTTCCTATTATGTATATTAAGAGAATGACATATTTTGTATACAGCTATGACTGAGGTGGAATTGCTTACAATAGTAATCCTTTCTCTCTCCTTTTTCAGCCCCCTGAAATGGTATTCTAATATTACTGAAAATTAACATTTCCTTCTGTACTGAATACAATAGATCACACATGCAATAGCTATTATAGTAGCTCCAAGACAGAAAAGGTAAAAAAGCACTTAAATTGTAAATTATTCAGAAATACACTATATGAAATATGTTACCATGAAGAAGATGATGTTGCAGCATCCTACAATACAATGATAGGGCATAAAAAATATTCACAGCTTTTGCCAGCCCTCAAAAGTGAGTGGAAATGGGGTTGGAGAATAAAACTCATGTAAATAAACTTGAATGGAGGGATGAAAACCAGAATTCTCTTTTCTAAAGATTTACCAAATGAGCTCTAGGCTTAGCTACTTAGTGCACCCAGAAGGTCATGCAATAAGTAGGCTTTTATGAAAGTAAAAATCTTCCAATATTAAAATATTGTCAGAAAGCTTCTGATGTCAAATGAAACAGTATATTAAACACAAGGACTTAAGAGAGCTGTTTGACTTCAATGGCCTTTGTGTCAGTCCTAAATAAGCTATTTAACTGTTGAAATATATGGAAAACTTAAGACTAAAACAGGGGGGTTAACTTTTTTACTGTGAAAGGGCTGTCATCGGATCCACTCCCATCCTATCCATCCATCAGGGAGAACTTTCTTCCTACCTGTAAATAAAGAGGAAGATATCAAATTTCATTAAACAAACCTATTGTTCAGCAACACAGACATTCTGAAGAATTAAAACAGCTAAACACAATAATATTGCTACAGGGATGTCTGCCAGCATGTCCCTTAAGAAAAAGGAAGGATTCTTCTACAAGGTTTTGGGCTTGTCACATTGGTGAGACATTCATTCTACATTGTTACAACACTTCTTAGAGCAAGCCTTACACCAGCATAAAACTGGCACACTGCACTGGGAGAATCAGGACCAATATCTGAAACATTGAAAATCAACTCTTACCAGCCACAAGGATGATTATTTTAAGTGGAAAAATGTGTATTTCGTAAAGGTCGTTTGCCGCTTTTGCTCAGAATACATAACACAATTTCTGGTGAATAACATCCAAAATTTCTGATAGTGGTTCAGCCAAAAGTCAGCCCTCAGAATCAGCTCAGTTCTCAGCTGCATTTCAGGGTTTGGGATTTTTTTACAATAACTAATACATCTTTCCCACTAAAGAACAATTCTACAAGCTGACAATCCAAAAAACAAATACCCATTGTAATTAAAGTGACTAAAAGAGAGAACATGTCTGGATCTTCTGAAATACAGTACTCCTAAAAATCTGAGGAAATATCTCTTCTCTTCATGTGAAGAATCATGGAGTCAATCACCAAAGGACTCCAGCCAAGAAGCCACTAACTCCAGGCAAAGCGCTCTGCTGGTCCAAGCAACGGAGGACCATGTCATAGGGAGTAGGAGCATGTATTGCACAAACACCCTCAGTGAACTGCGAACCCCCTGAGAGCTACAGCTGAACACTGTCCTACACAGATAGGCTGCCACCAGATACAAAAACACAGCTTATTCTTCAGGTTATCACAGCAGCCTTTCAAGCCTCGCTCTGGACTGAAATATCCCATTATACACATGACACGATGCTGCATTAAGACAAAAGGGCTGAAATCATTAGCGGCTTTGTTCCATAGTAAGGTAAGTGTACATAAGTCACTGTCACTGTGGTCTCAGCCTCATTTTCTCTCTTTACCACACAGCCATTGGCATTTTTCCCTGCACTGGCTGCAGACTTCGTGCACCCAGGCAGCACCCTGCTTGGCTGAGTTGTCCCAGCAGAAAAACTAATAAAATAAAGAGCATTAAGTTGGATTGTCTCCATGAACTGACTTGCTGTGTCATAACATGAGCTCCTGTGCTAGCTAAAGGGTAAGGCCAGAACCGTAAGTGCCACCAGATACACAAAGAGGTAAATAGGAGTTGCAACCTTCCATCCTAAAACCCAGCATCTCTCCAGATGTGGGGACCGTGCAGCTTACATGTCCTATTAAACAATGTACTCTAGGGACCCCACGGTCCACAAGATAACCTTGCTTGTGCAGGATCTAGTTATACAGCATTGTGTTCACAGGGTAATGATGACCAAAGAAGTTTCTGTGACTATACAACAGTTTTTCTCCTTCTTAGTTTTATCAAAAAGGTAAATTTTAACCTAATGTCATATTTAGCATGCTTACTTTTTATTATTTTTCAGTTATGCTCAACTTTGCTTTCTACATTCTGTGTAGTTTTCATGCCAGAATTACAGGAAGCTTTCCCAACGCTGACTTTCATACACTTTGGAGTTTCAGTTGACCTCAAGGCAGATACACATCAGATAAAAAACTCAGAACACAAAAGACAGGGGCAAAGCAGTTTGAACCAGAAATGCAGCTGATGTATCTGGACCTTATTAAAGCATTTGATACAGTGCATCAGAAAATTGGACTTGAAAAATTAATTCAGATTTGCTTGGATCTAAGGACTTCCACGTGTTTTGAGAAATAACTGGAAGTTGTAGGGCTATGAAAGTGGCAATAACATCAGTTATTGGTTATAACAAGGTCGGTACCTGTGCTAATTTGACATATACTTTGAACAATTAATTAATTCAATAGGAAGATGATATTAACTGGGAAATAGTAGCTAGAAAAGAAAAAGGGGCTAGACACACCAAACTACCAGAAACATACATTTATCTGAGCAAATAAGATGAGATTTAGTGTAAAAAATGGAAGATACCAGAGTCTGGAAGATACCAGAGTCAGATGGATGAAAATTGTCCAAATTCATCAGGGATGATACACAGTACTGGGAAAAGTCCCCCAGGTGACAGGGCAGGTTAGCTCTAAGGTGGCACACTGCTGTGGGCTTTCAAAAAGGGGTGGATTTTGGCTCCTCATGCCAAAGCAGCTGTGCACTATGGACAGTGACAGCAAGTGTCATTTTCTGTCTTCTTTTCGGAGACTGAACCTAGATTTTTAACAGACTTTAAGTCACCTCCTAGGATAAATTGCAAAAAAGATCTGGCTCCTTGTACAGCGAATGTTCTTACTCTTCTCTGTTTGACTTTATCCCATTATTTCGGTTCATGCTAAGCCAAAAAAACTTTAAGGAAGCTCCCTTTTTGCTAGTTTTATTGTTCAACAACTTGTGGACAATCTTCAGATCTGCCAACACAATTCAGCAGTATGTACCTTTTCATCTTTCCGACAGGTCAGTCTTTCTAAACAGCACTTTCCCTGTTTGGCTTGGATCTGCGAGAATGCTCAGGGCTCAAGAACAAAGTCCTAGCACACAGAAGAAGGATCCAGTACTGAGAACAGGGAGCCTCCCCTAGCACTTGCAGTGAAGCATACCTGATACAGCTTGTCAGACAGCAGGAGGGAAGATGTCTGAGCAGAGACAGCTCAGTCCAGAGCTGATGCTCCTAAGATGCATCTTTAGCACCATGGTGCCTGAAGCATGGGCCTTTCCTGCCTAGAACCATTCCCACCTGCAAGTGCATTTTCAGAACTACACATGAATAATTACTTTTATGGCCTCTGCTACAGCTGAAGATAATGGATTTACTCCAGACTTCCCTAATGTGACAGAGCAGAATTGGATTTAGTGAAATCCACCTGATTGTTTAACATATGACATCAGAAGCTATGAACACTTTATTGTTTGGATTGCTTTTCATCAAACTGGGCAAAAGCTCTCCATCTTGTAGCCATGTCAGTATATAAATAAAAACATCAGGGGCTACTTCTGCCTCTGGTTTCCAGAACAAAACACCTTTTATTTTCACTGCGCATAATGAAAGAAAATCACCATGCACAGGAGGTTCTTCCCGAAAAGAAATACATGTTAGCAACGCACTGAACAGATGTTAACCTGACATATTAACCCTTGATTAGCCGCGTTCGCTGCCCAGCGCATGTTTTGTAATCCCAACGCACAATCACACTGGGTAACCCTCATAAACTGTGCAATCAACAGAACGATGACAAAAGCGCAATTCAGGACTAAAAAGCTACCCGGAATAGCCCACCTACGGGCACCGCGGCTGCACCGGCAGCCCCCTCCAGCTGCCCCGGGACGCGGGGGGCCGCGCCGGGAGAACGTCCCCGCACCGGCGGCGGCTCCCGGAGGCGGGCGGCGCGGATCCCGCCCCCCGCCCGCGACAGCCGCCAGCAGCCGCCAGCAGCCCCCGGCAGCCGCCAGCGGGGCGGGCGGCGCAGGCAGGCGGCAGCCTGCCCTCCTTCGCTCCCTTCCCCCCGCCTCCCGCCGGCCCGTGCCGCAGCCCGCGGGCGCGGCCAGGAGGCGGCGGGGCCGCGGCTACCCCCGGCTCCGCGCCCGCCTCGAGGCGCGGCGTGGCGCGGCCCCGGACTCTCCGCCTTTCCGCGGCTTTCTGTTCCCAGCTCCGGCGAGATGTTATGGCAGAGCCGGCGCAGAAGGGCGGCGTAGGGCAGGGCGGGCGGCGGGAGGATGAGGCGGCGGCGGCCGCCCCCAGCTATGAGGACTACGAGTGCAAGATCTGCTACAACTACTTCGACCTGGAGCGGCGGGCGCCCAAGCTGCTCGAGTGCCTGCACACCTTCTGCCAGGAGTGCCTGAGCCAGCTGCACCTGCGGGCTGCCCAGCAGCCCTCCAGCGATGAGCCGGCGCCCGGGCCCGGCCGCCCGGCCGGCGGCTCCCTGGCCTGCCCGCTTTGCCGCCACCGCACGGCGCTGCCCGACCACCGCGTCCACAGCCTCCCCGTCAACACCAAGCTGGCCGCCGCCTGCCCGCCGCAGCTGCGGGCCCGCGACCCGTTTCCCCAGGACAGCCTGCCGCCGCTGCCGCCCCGCCGCCCGCCCCGCGCCAGGGAGGCGGCGGCTGCCCTCGCCTCGCAGCCCTCCGCCGGCCGGGCCGGGCCGCGCTCCTCGGGCGGCGGCTACGAGAGCTGCCAGAGCTGCAAGCGGGCAGCGCTGAGCGCTGGCTGCGTGTGCGTCGTCGTCTCCTTCCTCTCTATGGTGGTGTTGCTTTTCACCGGCCTCATCTTCGTCAACCAGTACGGTGGCGACGCCGGGCCAGGCGCCTCGGCCTCGCCGTCGCCGGTGGGGCCCATCTGCCTCTCGGTGGCCAGCATCCTCGCCCTTTTCTCCGTCGTCGTCACATGGCTCATCTGCTGGCTCAAGTACCGGCCCGAGGCGGCGGGGGCGACTGGCGGGGCGACAGCCAACGGCACCCCGCGGGGCCGGGCGGCGATCGCCCGCAGGAGTGACACGTAGCATCGGCGGAGCGGAGCGGGGCCGGGCCGGGCGGCGGCGGGCGATGAGGGTCTGAGCTAGGATGGGCGAGCAGAGCGGAGCAGGCTGTAAGAGGACCCGCGGGTCGCTGTGAGGGAGAGCGCGGCCGGGCGGCCCTGTGTAGCAGGAGCGGGTGGGCCGCGGCCCTGCTCGCAAGGTCCCCTTGTCTAATCGGTGTTAGCTCGGACACGGGCCAGGTCATGGCAGTCCTGGGTGTAACGGACCTGCCCGGGGAGCGGCGGGACCCAGGCACCGGGCAGGGGGACACGGTGTGTCTTGGGAGCCAGGCCAGCCCCGCGGCTCTGGCACAGTCCCAGGTGGTGGGGATGGTCTGCAGGGGCGAGGGCCCGATATGGAGGGAGGGAGGGCAGTACGCCTCTCCAGCAAAGATATCTCGAAGAGCCTCCCCGGGGAGCTGGGGCTCCGAGGCTGGCGACCGCGCTCCTCGCCACCTCGGTTGGGAGCGCACCGAAGTTTGGGTGCTCCCTGGTGCAGAAGGACACGTTCGCAACTGAAAGCAGACTGGCTTACTGTTGCCCCCACCTGGAAGATAATTGGAGAGATTCGCTGTGATTAGGAGCAGAACAGGATCACGATGTTAAATGCGTTGTGTTTTCCTTTTTATGAAGTTAACAAGTACATACAGAAGAAGCTGTAACATAAATGTATTATCTCGAGGAGACTGAGCCAAAGTTTCCCTACAATGTATTGAGTACGGTTTTGTTATAATTTTATTAGAAGGCCATCGGGCCCTCTGCTGGTTGCTTAAAATAAGCTTTCTTATTTAGTTCTTTGAAATTCTCATTTAATGTGGGAGACTGAAACAGTACAGTGCACACTTAAAACAATTTATGGAAGATGATTTAATTAATGGAGCTCTAAAATAGAGCTAAGAGACTCCTGTGGTAGAGAGTAATGTTTCACTGGCCACTGATTCCAATTTTTGCACAGTGAGAGAAGCCCACATTAAAATACGGACTTTCATCATCACCGTAAAAGTGGATTGCGGTAGCATAATTTGTGTGTTGAACATTTACCTTTGAGGTAGCTGTAATAAGACGGTGGTTTTCCTTCTTGGTAAGTTTCTGTTCTGTGTTACGAGTTTCTGTAAAGGCCGGTAGAAGATGATTCTGTCCTGTGAGGTTGGAACATCAGAGATGTCTTTGAAATGTAACAAGATGCTCATAATCCGAAATGGAAAAACGTTGCCCTGCAGCTGGTCTTGTAGTATATTAAGGAGAGCACTCTACATAGATACTGTTCTGTGTTGCAGGATAATTCATTTGGTGCCTGAATTTTTTTAACTTAATTACTTATAATCTATTATATTGGGAATAAGATAATGCTGCTTATTCCGTGTTTCGAAACAGTACTGTAATGGAATGAGGTAATTATTTTCGTGCTTAACAATTCAAGAATTTTATGAGTGATCTTTTAGTGTGTGTATTTTGCAAGCTGTCTGCATGATACTCTGACACGTATCCTCTTAATAGACCTTTACTTGACCACTTCTATTTATCACAAGTGCAAAGGAATTTACTATGTAGAAATGTAAAGACAGCGGGTGAAGTTGTGTGATGTGTTTTATGACTGCACAAGTGGTATGTGCTGTGCATTGTCTTGGTCATCACAAATCTGTGAAAAACAACCCCCTGGCACCCCCACCAGCCCAAGTGGTATTTATACAGACTCTGTTGCGATGGATGCAGTTCATGGGAACAGTGTATGATTTTTGTGTCACTTATGTCTATTTAAAAAGATCCGCACCAGCCTTTTAAAGTTGTATATCAAAACATAGAGGCCCTGAGGAGAAAAATTACTGGGTTCAGCTGCAGTTCTGACTGTGGTTCATGTATTTAGACCAGTGTTTTCCAACTGAGAGTTGCTCGTTAGCCGTGTAAAAGGTGTATGCCTCCTAAAATCAGGCCTGACCATTAGCCCCTGTTGACTTCAGCAGTAGTTGTGGATGTTCTGCACCAAAGAAAAATCATGAGACTTTTGTTTAAGCATCTAAATGAGAATTTAGATGGTTGACTTCAGGTACAAACCTTTGAAAATTTTGGCCTTAACCTCTCTGTTCTTCAGTTACTGCATCTGTAAAGTTTGATAATAGCATTGACCTACCTCACAGGCAAGATGTGAGGCTTTATTTATTAAAGTTTTTAAGCAATTGGAGATCCTTGAAGAGGAGGTGCTATAGAAGTGAAGTATTATAAATGATGCTGTAGTAAGAATAAATATATGTAAATTAATGGACATAAACAGCAGCAATGTTTTCTGAGAAAAATAAATCTATAAAATATGTACATGTGTACATCGTATACGCCAATATATGAATTACCTGTTTGTGCTTCTACTGCAAACACAGCATGCATATCCTCATTACTGTTCCATCAGGTGAGCGCCAGTACCTTGCAGTTCAGATAAGCCGGGCCAGCAGTCACTGCTATGACTCCATCTCATGCAGGCATGCTGAAACCAGCTCTGAGGGCCCGTAAAGCTCAGCTGGAGCTTGCTGCATAGTAGTTCTGCATTGCTTTATTCCTGTGGGCTTTCCAGCTGCACTGAGAGCGTGGCTGTTGCAGGTTTGCTGCCCGCACCAACGTGGGTATGTTTACAGGAGCTGCAGTCGCAATTAGGTAGCTATGCCCTGAAATACTGATTGCAGTAAGAAATGTATTGTCCGTATTTTATTTTGTTTTCTTTCCCCAACGTAGTTTTATTCTTGCCTTTTTTTTCTGTAAACAGTATTTGCCATTTTGACTAAACCAATGGTTTCAACTGGGATCCATGGACTACTAAAGGATCTGCAAAAGGTAAGTAAGAAAAGCAAATTGATCAACAGAAGCTTCAGTTTGTTACATGAGGGTGAACTTTAAAATGTTTAGAGGTTGGCACGTTGCAAAAAGTTGAAGATCACAGGCCTAAACAGGATTTTCAGGCTTACTCACAACTGAATGCTCATATTACATATCAGGTTCCTAGCCATATATTTTCAAATATTTCAGAGCCAAATTAAAATGGACAGTCTGATCTTATGCCAAACCCTTCTCTGCTTATGCAAATTTTGGGAAACTCCACTGGTTTCAGGAGCATTAGTCTGGATCCACATCACAGTACCAGTCAGAAAAAAAGTCGCATTGTATACATTTCTGGCTACTGTAGAATCCCAGTATGACATTTGTATTTTGGGTTCCTTGGAGTGTACAGATTGCTTGTCCAAAGCCAAACTTTGCTTGAGTTTCAGTAAAAAAATTACAGAAACAGAAAATCTGTGTGGCTGGTGGTGTTTTATTACTGTAGCTATTTCAGTCAGAACACTTGTGTTTTCTAATTGCTTAAAAAAGCACAGAGATAGGCAGGTGAAGGGGTACACCTCAGTTACACTATCCACACATCTTGCAGAAGAAAACAGTGCTTTGGGGCACTCTGTGGGAAAGCGGAGAAGGCAGGGTATGCCACTACACCGTGGGGAAAAACATGGGAAATACAAGCTGCTGGCTTTTTTTTGTTTGTTTTGTTTGGGGTTTCTTTGTTTTGGTTTGGTTTTTTGCTGTGCAACATTTCTCTATGTTAGACAGTCTGGGGCACAAGCAGCTACAGCCAAGAAATGGAAGCACCAGGGAAGTAAATGAAGGCCTGACTGTGAGGATTTCTGTGGCTTCTGTGAGATCACAGGCTATGTGAAGTCTGAAAGATCTCTAGTTTCCTGTTGTGCCAAAAGATCTTTTTTTTTGTTTGTTTTTGTTTTGTGGCAGTAATCCCCTATTGCTCTGCCTGAGCAGAGCATACCAGACTCCAAACTGGAAGGTTAGATTGACTGTCAGGTTCATGGTTTGGGCTCGTCTGCCAGACATCCATGCTATTGGTCCAAGAGAGGGAGGAAAATGCAGACAGGAGGGCACAACCCAGTTTGTCAACAGAGCCTGGGTGGTAGGTACATGCAATAAACTCTTGTTTTTCCATCTTGGCTGGGAGAGTGGCCACCATCTCTGCTTGAGAGAGGTCCTCACTGGAGCTAACTGTTTAGTTAGCTGATAAAGCTCAGTATATGCTACTGTTGGGGAGCTGCTGCCATTTATGATGTATGGGAATGCATTGGGACAATCACTGCCACATCACAACTTCACTTCTTTCATGTTGCCCTTCTTGTGCTCAAGAATTCAATTTCTTAAGAACCGTTATCTTTTTAACATGTCATGTACTTTCAGTGCCACATTGCACAAATTTTCATTTCTGTACTCTCCGTTGAAAGTGTCTCTGGTAAATGCTGCAGCTTCAGGGAAGAAATCAGATTAATTTCTGCATCACTAGCCCACAAGTATTAAATAATTGTACAATCTTAATTTGCTTAATGGCAGGTATTCGTGTTTTTGAAAGGCAGGTTTGGTAGAAAAACACTTGAGTATTCCATAAATGCATGGGAGGAATATAAACCTCAGTTACTAGTTTGGTTGGTTGATAGGCCTGCATACAGAGGTACTTTTGTATTCTTTTACCATGTAAAATGTGACATAGAAGTTACTCTCATATTTTCAATCATTAGAAATGTACCACAAAGCTGAATGATAAAAAAACTAGCCAACAGCAGTGGGTACTGAGTCATGCATCCCTGCAAGTTAGAACCATGGCCTGAATTTCCTAGAGTGGCCAGTAATTTGCATCTTAATTCATTTTTGTCTGGGTTGAGACAGCATTTTGGAAGCACAGTTTTAAAATCAAGCTCAATAGTAATATGGCGGGCAGAGAACCCCGAAAGACCACCTTACTCTCAAAAGTGAGGTTCTATCTGCATTTATGCTTCAAAGAACAGAAAAGAGTAAGCCTCCATTATTTTTTCCTTGCACTGTAAAAATACATTATTAAAATATGGTGGATCACAGCTGACTATGGAAATACTGTTGCTTCTTACCTTAATGCTCTTCTTTTGTAGCTCAGATTACTGTTCACAGGGAGTTAAGTCTGCTTGTGAGTATCATCCCAAAGTAGCTAATTGTGTGTAACACTTTGTATATGCTGCCTTTTGCAAATGATTGAAGAGGCAGCTGCCTGTGCGCAGACAGATACTACAGACTGAATAATATGGGTGTAGTTACGTGGTTAATGTGGATTTTCAGTTGTAATCTTACTTCAGTGAGTGATTTCACTGGAGTGGGTGAACTGTTCCAACTGGCCAAGGCTGCTGGTTGTGCAAACAGGCAAAACCCTGATGAATGGGAATTCGAGGGGTGTGTGAACTACAAGTTCCTCTGTGTGCTATTGTGTATTAACACCTGGTGCCAAAAGCCTTTACTTAGGGGAGTAGTCTATGTGAATTGCGAGGGAAGGTGCTGTTGCAGCTCTCTTGCTCACATCCATGACTGGCACAGTCCAGCCTCTTTCCCATATCCCTGTGTTCTGTGTGTCAGTGAAAATAGAACAACTGCTGAAGAAGACAGTATTTAAATACGAATGTGAACGTCATTCAGAGGAATGGTTATTAATCATCTCTGACCTGCAGGCTTAAGCATAAACAGTGCATTTGATATTAATAGGTTGTGGATATGTTTATGGACATGATACTGAATGTCTAATATTCAGTGGAAATAGAAGTGTAGGAGAATGGTTTGTGTAACTTTGTCAGAGCTCTTCGTGTGCACTTAAATCCTCCTGAGCTCAGTGGTCCTTTTCCCTGTGTTACAGACGTTTTGTAGAGTGTCCCTGGCTGCTCTACTAGTCTAGAGAATATGTGACACCTCACTGGAAGTTAATTAATTTTCTTAGCATATTATATTGCCAAAGAAAACATTAATCTTTGTATTAAGCTCTGCTCGTTTAAACCACATCAGAGGTGGCTCCCTGTCAGTTGTAAGTTTGTGCAAGATCTTCACAGAAACATCACAAGAGTTCCCTTCATGTTACAGATGGTTCTAGGAAGCGATGGGTCTTTCATGGCTATGATTTCTAATGTTTCTGAAGGATATTTAAATTTGGTGTCTCACTTTTATAAAAGCTAGAAGACCCTGCAACTTATTTTATACAGTATTTTCTCTGGGAGCATGCAGAAATTGAGATCTTTGGAAGAAATGTGACAACTGCATTAGCAAAATGCGGTTTCTGCCATGGGGGTACGTAGATTCATACTAGACACATTCAACTACATTGATCAATTTAGCATAAAATACTTCTGCTTGTGTTACAGCGAAGGAGCAATGCTGGCCCTCCATTTAGCGTGTATCTCTACTTACTGAAACCACCCAGGTCCGAAGCTGGCCTCATAGCTCTAGCTCTGAGCTGCTCTCAGGCTTACTTTTCACATGCCGTGCAGATTGTGAGATTTTGAATCAAGGTGATTGTATTCCCTTACAAATAGCTTCAGCTGAGAAATATCTCAGTTAGTTTAAGGAGATTTTCACTGTAAACAAATACAGAGAGGTTGACTTGTCTCATTGGAACATGAAATTTGTGAGGAATAGCTGGAATAATAATAATAATAATAATAATAATAATAACTAATATTATCATCATCATTCCCCAAACCTTCTCCTTATTTGCCAGGGAATCTAAATCTTAGACTGCATCTCATTACAGGTCCAGCTGTAAGCAATGTTTCCCCATACTACCCCTTTGTTTAACCATTGAGCAAAATCTAACAAGTCCGTTTTGGCTATTATTTTGTAATCTTTTGCTTAATAACAAATAGCAATAACAGCATTTGGGGTTTGGAAGGTTTTTTTACTGGCTGAAATACGAGAAATATGCTTGAGATATAGATCGAAATTTGCTGTACTTTAAAATGGGAAGAATGAAGCTTTTTATGACTTAGAAATTGTGGTGGTGAGCCACAATGCCAGCTTGATTTCCACATTGTAAATAAGGACTTGTTAGTTGCATGGGTAATATTGGGGGACAGAAAAATATTCTTCTGTGGGGAAAAAAAAAAAACAAAAACTATTGAAAACTTTCAAGCAAATGAAACCTTAAAAATACAATAGAAACCACATTTTCTTCTACTCGGTTAGCAAGTGATTCTGAGAATAAATATAGATCTCCTGGTATTTCTGAAGTATCAAAACCGCATTGAAAATAGGTGAGATTATAGTTGTTCTGGAACATACTTCTGCTTTCCTTTTGAAAGACTGGGAAAAGCCTCTCTTTGATGGCATCACTCAAAGCACTGTTCCAGATATTAGCTGGGCCATGCTGCCCCCCAAAACCCCCCTCTAATTTCTTTGCGGGCGGTTGTTTCACCTTTCACCCGAGGCAGACCCACCAGTCGGGCCCCAGCCCCTGCTCCCAGAGCAGCTCTGCTGCCGGCGCCGGGACTTAGGTGCCCGCCGGGGGGACCGGGCTCTGTCGAGACCTGCTGGGTGCTCCTCCCGGAGCCGCAGTGAGGCTCGCCCCGAAGGGACGCCACAGCCTGTGGTGAAAGTGCCCCAGCCCCCAAATCCTGCGCTGTTTTTTCCGTTATGTTGCAGATAGACAGACGCCTGGCAGGGACAGAGCCAAGCTCGGCGGGCAGCGGGTGCTTTCATCTGAGCACGGGACTGGTGGCGGAGCGGAGCAGCGGCACCAGGCGCCCCTGGCCCCGGCAGTGCCTGCTGCGGGGAACCGGGAACACTCCCCGCCTTCCCCCCCCCCCCCCCCCCGAGGGACAGTGCCGGGAGAACTCCGGCCAGGGCAAGGGCATCGCTGCGGCCGGAGCCGCCGCCGGGAGCGGCCTCCCAGGGCAGCCACGGAGCGAGGGGCCGGCTCTCCTTGGCCTGCGTCCACCTTTTCTTCCCCTTTTATTTCTTTCTCTTTCTTGCTGTTTTTCCTTCCTTCCTTTCTTCTTGCTCTCTCTTTTCCTTCCTTCCTTTCCTTCCTTTCCTTCCTTTCCTTCCTTCTCTTTCTCTTTCTTTCTTTTCTTTTTATTTCTTTCTCTTTCTTTCTCTCTTTCTTTCTCTCTCTCTCTTTCCTTCTTTCATTTCTCTTCCTCTCTATTTCTGTTTCTCTTTTCCCAGATTTTAAACCAGTGCATCATTAAAAAGAAAAAAAAAGAAAATAATAAACGGTGAAATCATATAGTTGCGGGAGAAATACCGGTTAATAAATACAATGTCTGTGATAGTAGGGCTGCTTTCCCCTTAATATCGTTAATTCCTGGCAGCATCATGTTGGACAGCAGGGCGGGGAGGGAGGGATGTCCGGGATGGAGGGCTAGGTGCTTGCCGGTGCACAATACATGCTGGTAGAGCAGGAGTGGGCCACGCGTGTTCGGCCCCGCTGTGAAAACTCGTTCCGAAGGCAAATACAT